ATAACCAAGGGAATAAAGAGGTAAGAGTTAAATACTTGGAACCAAGGGATGGACTTGTGTGTTACTTATTACATCATAATGTCATTCCTAGGAATAGTAACAAGCATAAGCTTCGCATTGAAGACTTCTATGTTGTAGACAATATTTGCCATGGATTAGGTCATTGTAATGGAATACCAATGGCTAGGTTGTTAGTCTCAAGGATGTGGGAAGTAGTTCATTCTTAACATGAAGATAAGACATTTGTTTTCCCATTGTTGATTAGCAAGATTTTGGTCAATGAAGGAGTTGAAGTCGATGGTGAATATTGCTTCAACAATGAAGACAATGTCATTGATGTGAATTGTTTAAGTCATTTGGGTTTAAAGAGGAGAGTTGTTGCCAATGAGGTGCATTGGTACCATGTGCAAAGAAGGACTTATGCACAAGGACTTGAACAATCACAAGGGACAAGACAACCATCCTTAGAAGTTGATGAAGAAAATTCCCAAGAGCTTCCTATGAGAGAGTTTCAACAACTTATGGTTCGAGAGATGAGAGCTTACATGGAGAGAATGGAGGACACCCTACGTGATTCCATGGACCAAAGGAGACTAAGGAGAGGCCGATGATTCTTATCCTTAGGATGTCATATGTTATGAACTTTTTTTATGTTTTGCATTTTTATCATGTCATTGCATGCATTTCATTTGTATTTATATTTGTATTTGGATCTTATGTAAGACTTACGTGTTTGGATGCTATGATTGATACTATGTTTGATTAATTTGCTTAGATTGAGCATCGACTTTCTTGGTGAATTAATTCTTGCATGTGTTTAATTAATTAGATTGCCCAACTTATTGTGATTTATTGCTAGTTGTAAGTTTGCTTGATTTATTAGATTGGGTCGACACTTTCTTTTTAGATCGAGTCTTACTTGTGTACTTCATTTTTCCAAAAGTTTTCAAAACAATATGTTTTGAAATTTTTTTTCAAAATACTAGCACATCACACATTGAGGACAATGTGTCTTTTAAGTGTGGGGGGAAGAAGTAGTCTATTTTTCAAGATCCTATTTTCTTTTCTATCTTATTGATTAGAGACAAATTTTTCAAAATTTTTGAAGAAAATTAAAAAAATTGTTTTGTATCTCTAGTAAATTTTGATTTAATTTCCATGAGTATAGTCTTTTATAATATTAATTAGTTTGAATACATTGAAAATATTTTTCAAATTTTCTTATGTATAATTTCATTCTTTGATTGAGATGTGTAATTAATAAGGTTTTTCATACCCAAAAATGGTTTGACAAGTGCATTACTTCTAGAACTTGTGTTGATTCTTGTGTACATTTATAGAAGTATGTCATAGATATGTCAAAGACAAAGTGTGGGGGTATGAAGGGTAGCTTAAATCTTTTAAAAAGAAGTGTTTTCATGTTAAGAGGAGAAGAGATATTTTCTTGCTTAAAAAAATAAAATAAAATAAAATAAAATAAAAATATTAATTAATCCATTGTTGTCACTCTTTTCTTTAACAAAAGGAGTTAGTAACCCTTGGAAAGAGGATAAGAGGCATGGAAAGCGGAAATATTGTCCCTCTTGTAAAAATGAGTGTTAGTAACCTCAAATAAAGGGAGCTAGTAGCCCCAAATCATGGACACTTCTAAGGTTAGTAACCTTGCTTAGAAATTTTGAGCTATTTCTTTTAAAACCCATCTTAATTTTTGATTAATATCCATGATATTACTTTCTCTTTGGAAATTGATGAAAATGCAAGCTTATGGTAAGTTTTCCTTGTCAAATTCACCCAAGGTATGTTGATCTTAGAACTTGCATTATTGATTGGAGTGATTTTGTGCATAGTTAATTTGAATCTTATGGTCTTTGTATTCTTACTAACTTATATTGCATTTGACTAGAAAATGTAGATTAAATTCTTAATTTGTTAGAAGTACTTTGTTTTCTAAAGTTTGATGTCTCTAGTTAATGTTACATAATGTTTGTGGGTATCGTTCTAGTTAAGTAAACCCTCAGGAGACTATAACTCCTCCTTTATAGACGTATAGACGTTTAAAGGCTTGTGTCACATGCTAAGTGCCGCCGTACACCTACGAAAGTGGAATCAATATGTTGTTTAGTATAGTCACTAACCTTTTTTGTTTTCTTAGGATTAACCTTAGTTTACTAGGGACTAGCAAAGCTCAAGTGTGGGGAAAATATGATCGGACCAAAATTATACATCTTGTTATGGTCATTTTCCTATGCTTTTTGGGTATTTTATGCTTGATTATGCCTTATATTTGGTATATTTGTGTTTATAGGTGTTAAAGTGAAGAAAAGTGTAAAATCACCAATTTTGTATCTTTTTTGAGCCTTTTTGGATGATTATTTACACAAATATTTTCCAAGGATATTTTGGATGAAGAATGGAGCCAATATGTTCGTGATTGAAGAGCTTGAAGAGTCAATTTTATCATCATAAGATTGATTTTCAAGAGTTTGAAGCAAAGGAGCAAAGTTGAATTTCAAGGCAAGAAAACATGTCAAGAAGTGTCATAGCACTGGAGTACATGGGTCGCGAGGCAAACCACATGGGGCGCCAAGCAAACCACATGGGCGCCAAGCGCTAGTCGAGACATGCCACCAGCAACCACATGGAGCAGGCGACCTGGGGCCTGAGAGCAACGCCCTGGGGGCACAAGCCATCCACATGGGCACCCAGGGGGAGTCGGGGGTAATGCCGCGCGCGCGCCACCCAGCAGCCATGCGTGTCTTCACCTTGAAGCCTCTTCACTTGTTTCCACATTTGGCGACCTTTCTGTATTTTGGCCATAACTTTTGATCCAGAGCTACCTTTGAGGCGTATGAGTAGCCGTTGGAAAGCTAACTCCAGGATCTACAACTTTCGTGTTTTGTCGAAGCCCAATTTTGCCGTTTTCGTGGACAAAAATGCCCCCGAAATCATCAGACAGAAACTGTCATAGGCCTGTTTTGCGGGATTGATCCAATTGAGCCCAAATTCTTATTTGTGGACTAGCTTGAAGACCTGGAGAGCAGCCCAGCACGTCCTTAGGGTTTGTTTAGCTCTAAACTAACCCTAAGTCACCCTCTATAAATACCCTCTTAAGTCTAAAACCCTAACACAACATAGAAAATCATTTTTTCTCAACCCTAGCTCTAGGATTTGCGATAGGAAGAGGAGAGGCAGCCGCCGGCCTCAAGCATTGTAAGTCTCTCATGGATTGCTTGCAATCCATGAGTAGCTAAACCTTTTATACTTTTTTTCCTTAGGTACTTTTGATCAATGAATTATTGGTGAGACTTTTGTTCTTAATAATTTGAGCTTTTTCTGTTTGAATACGTTTCTTATCTCTATGCTTCATCTTATGTGTTCATACTTTTATTGATTTGGTGCGCAACATATCTTGAGATTTATGAATGCTATAGTTAGATTCAAGTAGCTTGAGTCAAGCTAAAGTTGGTCCAAGTAACAATTGTAATTCTAGGTGTCCTAGGTTCAATGGGATATCAAACCTTGTTGAAATCTTTAGGCCGAGATGGAAATTGACGTAGGCAAGTTTGGTATTGATTTATCATGCAAGTGGATTAATAAAACTTAATGCTTGTTATATGAAGGGCTGAAACCATAGATTATAACATTTGAGGTTAATTGTCAGCGGGATGCGGGTTAATCTTCTTAGCATGTTGGAATTAGCATCACGTCTGTTCCTATACCAATTATTCGAATGGAGTTGTTTAAGATGTTAAGAGGATTACTTTCTTTCAATGAAAGTTGATGTCTACGTCTTAGGCTATATACCGATTTGGAGTAATTTATGATTCTTAATTGATTGCAATATAAGCCAAATTTATGTTTAGTGTCCATGATCCATGATTCACTTGATCAAAGTAGTTACCTAAAGGAGAAGTAGTATGTTTTCATTCATTGTTTTTACTAAATTCTCTTTTAAATCTTTAGTTTAGATTTCTTTTAATTGTTTTCTAGTTTAATTACTCTATTTTGAAATACCCAAAAATATCTTTTCTAGGTTAGAATTTCTTCTGTAAGATTTAACTTTGATTCGTACCTTCCCTGTGGATTTGACCCCTACTTGCCCTAGCTAAGTGGTTATTATCTATTTGTTATTGGTTTGTGGGGAATTTATCTTGTGATTTGTTCAACGACCGGTCATGTACCATTTCGATCAATTAAGTCCATCAATCTCCCATCTACAACATCGAATTAGATCATGTGGGTCCATCACGATTCAATCCGAATCGACTCCTCAAAAGATCTAATTTAATTCTATTATATTCTCCAACAATTCAATTTTACCAATCTAATCCTTCAAACCTCAAATTAAACTCTATTAAGTATTTATCCATTTGATAAGAAATTTCTCTTAAATATCCTTTAAAACTTATGTTATAGTATATGGACCACTAGTCTCCCAATTCGTATTTGATCAACTTATGAAAATTCCATTCATCTATAAAAAAAAAATTATCTATCAAACAAATCCAATAGTTCAATGCTAATCAAAACATTTCATTACAGTGTCAACAAACAATTCAGGTAAATTATACACTTTTATCCAATTAAACTAAATAAATTCTCCAACCTCTCATCCTTGTAGACTAGATCCTCTGAATTTCACTTTATTCACTTAATTATGTCAAATTCCATGCTAATTAATACAAAAAGGATACATAAAGTTCACTTAAATGTTCAATTATTCTATTCACACGAAACTTTGAAATACTAGTTCACTAAACTTTACATTTTGGCCATACTCAAACATTACATCACCACTTCCACAAACATAAGTCCATTCCTTGCAAACAAAACACTACATTAAATACTCTCTAATTTAAGCTCTTACTTCATCTCCTTTCATTTATCTTATAAATTTTGCATTTTCTTCACCCTCACTATTACTCTCGCCCAATTGGTTTTAGACCTTCCTCCAATGTCATTTGAACATATTAAGACTTCCTTAAGAGTGTACAACCATTTCATTTAAACATCTTGTCAGGGCAATGGGCTTGGACATGACCTGGCTCCCTACAGTGGTAGCACCGGGGAGACCAACATCGCCCTTCATGGAACGTACGACAGTTGCCACATTGTGGTACCATAGACTTACAAGTACCAGATCTTCTACTAATGCTTGAAGTGTTGGGTGTACCGGGTGACGTCCTTTGGGGTGAAGAGCTTCTCTTGCTCCTCTTAGATGATTGTCCCAACGAGAAATTGGATTGGCGTATGTTCTCAGAAGATTCTATGTCTACGGATTTTGACTCGTGTGTTTGTTCTAAGATGTGTTCCAAATACTTGGCTCTGTCAATGCAGTGTCTATAAGAAACATCACGAGTAAAAGCATCTGCCATATTCTTTTGTATGTCCAAGTTTACTATTTCTCTAGCTGCAATCCTTTCTTTCACTAATCCCACATAGAAGTATAGAATGGAGGTAAGCGGATAGGCTCAGAAAAGGCGAACATAAGGGGGTGACACCAAGACACAACTTAATATAGTCCCAAAAATCCCTATTCATACCGCTTCTCGGATAACCATAGAGTTTCTATTCTAAGGAACGACCATCACTATGCAACACAATCCATAGTGGCAGCTTCACTACGCTCAACTAGAACAATAGATGAAGGGAATTGAAATGAGTGGTTGTGGGTAGACTAGCATTGGAAGGCGAAGACGACGAGAATAAAAAGGAAGAAGAGAAGGTGAGCTGATTCGCTTAGAAGGGGCGGCTTATAAGTAGAAGGAGAGCCAAATTGTATAAGGATTTCGCTTCTATCGTTAGAGGGAAGCATAGTTTTAATCTTTTCCTGCGGCGAATAAAGGAAGGAAGAAAAAGCTTCTTTTCCATAGAGAGAGAGGACCATTTAGAGTCAGTGTGACGTCAGTGATACCAGTTAATAGCGAAATAGTCTTCCACCCCTTACCCTCTCTATCCGAACCAACTGAAGGGAATAGCAGACATGGGAAGCGAACATAGGTAATATCCCACTCTCTACAAACAAACAATTTGCTCTACAGCGGGTGAAGGTGGGGACATTATAAACCTCAACTCAAGGTCGGACTAAAGATTTAGCGTTTCTGCTTGGTTTGTCTATTAGGGTCACTCGTCGGCAATCCCAATCACTTGCTGAGACAATCATCTGTGCGTGAGTACACAGCTTATCTCTGGCTTTAAGCATCGTGGTCCCCTAAGAGCATGTCATCAACCTTGAGGGCCTTAACTTAGAGTAGAGCGTCACCCCAAGGCTTTACCTTGATCAACCAGCTGAGGTTCGTGAGGTCTTTTCAAAGCGTTCAAAAAGACGGGATTTCCACTATCGAAAATGGGATGCGAACGTTTATGAAGAGTGAATGCTTTCACGAGCTTAGATTGGCTTTTGACTTTCGTAAAGCAAATTGAATAGAGTCGATTAAGTACTCCCAAAAAGGGAGTCAGTGGTAATGCCTCCAACACTGGTTATTCCCACAGCTTCTTCTTTCACAAGGGACTCCGCCATTGAATCTATTATCTAACACTTTTGACGTGACATCTGATCTTTCCTCTCTCACAGCAGAACCTGTAAAAGCGGAGACTGCTTATCCTAAGAATGACAGGTATTGATTCACTGCCCATTTGTCATTTTCACCTGAGACCTGTAGCTGATTCTATGCCATCTCTCCTCTTTCCTCTTAACTGAGCATACTCCTTTAAAAGCAAGCATCTCTCGAAAACCTTTGTTCCAGCCAAGTAAAAGTCCATGATAAATTGCCCATAATTCAGCGACCATGATCGAAGAAATTCCGACGCGAAATGTGAAACCACCAAGCCAACCACCATTACTGCCACGGATGATTCCACCTGCTGCTGAATCGTCCGGGTTACCGCGAGAGCATCCATCCACATTGATCTTGACACAATGGCCTTGTGGCATTCTCCAACCAATGAGGATATTATGTTTGAGGCGGGTATTGAGGAAGGAAGAGACATCAGCAGCCTCCTTAGCCCGAGTATTGATTAATTGAGAGCATTGGTCCAGCCAAATAAAATCTTGGTCATGGAGCAAACAATTGCGCCAATACCATATGAACCATAATGCAAACATGAATATAAAATTCCATGGAATACCGAAGAAATCATCCCTGCAGCCACAGTTAATTAGAATCCAATCATTAATATCAAGAGCGAAGAAATCTCCCTGAATTAAATCAGGCCGAAGAGAAAGCCATGTATGCCGGGCTCTCGTGCAGTCCTTGAGAGCATGGAGTGCAGATTCAACGTTAGAGGAGCAGATGAAGCAAGAAGAAGAACTGAGGATGTGCCGGTGATGAAGGAAAGCTGCCGTAGGTATAGAGTCATGCAGCACACGCCAGAGGAATATTTTGATCTTGTTAGGTCCCTGTAGAGTCCAAATTTTGTTCCACTGCAAAGAAGATGGCATCATTGGCTGTGTTTGGATTTCATAGGCGGTTTTAGTGGAAAAAATTCCATTACATTCTAATTTCCAAAACCACGAATCCTCCTCATGATCTTCGGTATTAATCCACACCGAGGCAATTTTAGAGACAATGGGAATAGGTAAAAGATCATAGAGTTCTTGCAGATTCCAATTACCGAATTCATCACAGTAAGCAGCAACACATAAATCGACTTCCGTAGCAGAAAGTGGCCTTAAAGCAGACTCAAGTAAAGGTTTATCATCAAGCCAAGCATCTAACCAGAAACAGGTATTCTTGCCATTGCTAATATTGATGCCTAAGCCCATAGATAGGACTTCCCTACCTTGTAGAATGCTACGCCAAGTATAGGAATCAGTTGATTTGCTCTTAACAGAGAAGAAATCATGCTGGCGTAAATATTTCTTTTTGAGTAAAGTCACCTAAAGCAATTCATTATCAAACAGAATATACCATCCTAACTTAGCAAGAAAAGCAAGATTAGCTTAGCGAATATCACGCAAGTTTAGACCTCCTTGGTTCTTTGGAAGGCAAACTGAGTCCCAAGAAACACCATAAAGATGCCAATTGCCATTGTCATTACCCCATAGGAATTTCCTCATCAATTTTTCCAAATCAGAGATTACGCCACTAGGCAAGAGGGTTGTTTGCATAATATAAGAAGGGAGAGCACTTAACACCGATTGGATGAGTATGACTCGACCTGCCATAGAAAGATACTGATTGCCCCAAGACAACAATCTAGCTTGAGCTTTGCTGAGTATATCGCTGTAAGTATTTCTAGTTACCCTGCCATGTATCATAGGGGCTCCAAGGTACTTGCCAAAGTCTTCCGTGAGAGCTATACCACAATAGTTGCTTAATGAAAGGGCAACTTGTTGGGATATATTGAAAGAGACCAAAATTTTGGATTTAACAAGGCTAATTTTTTCGCCTGAGGCTTCACAAAATTTGTTAAGAACATCCATCATAACATCAAGCTGAGTAGTTGAAGCTTCACCAAAAAGAACAAGATCATCAGCAAAGCAAATATGAGAAATAATTGGACCAGATTGTGTGATCTTCAAGGGTTTCCATCGGTTCAATCGAACTTCTTCATCAATAAGATGGCCATGTTTTTCCAAGCATAATATGAACAGATATGGGGAGAGCGGGTCACCCTGACGGATGCCTCGCGAAGGGGAGAAAAAAGGTAAATGCTGACCATTCCAAATTAGAGAAAAAGTATTAGTAGAAATAATATTCATGATGAGATTTACCCAAGAAGTAGGAAGCTGAATTTCTTCAAGGACTTGTTGCAAAAAACTCCATTTGATACGATCATAAGCTTTCTCCAGATCAACCTCAATCGAAGTGACAGAGTTTGTATCGAGGGAGTCAAGGGAAAGGGCCAAGAGAGAAGAATTTCTCGGTGGTGTCCTCTTTCCAAGAGAAAAATGCTCAGATTTTTTCATATTTAGAGAGAGACAGAGTTTCTGTGTCGAGAGAGAAGAGAGAGAGCTCGAGATTTGTAGAGAGAGAGTGAAGAGAGAGTAGTGAGGGTCCAGAGTAAAAAGTATCTAATCCTAGGGAGAGCGTCCTTATCTTTTTTTCTGTTCACCGATTCTTCCCCATTTCTAACCGCCTTTGTTTGTTTGTGGCAGGTGAATTTTGTTGCAAATTTGGATGATGATTCACCAAGCCAGCTGTTCCTTTGGGAGGTGAGGTGGCAAGAGATAAGGATTCAGGTACTTTCTGCCTACTTCAAGCACTATGATTTGTTCCTGTGTAATCGTTGCTTGTTTGGCTGCTTATTTGGCTTGATGGTCACTTTACCCGCCCCTTAGCACCTGCCTTGTTCTGTTGAACATCTTGTGGCTTGATTGTATTGAAATATTAGTCTCTGCACACACTGCATTTTGTCTCCATGTTGCCATATCGTGGTTCAATCATGTGCCATGGTTTGTTTCATCTGATTCCACCACAGACACTGTATCACGACATAAAAAAGTGCACATTTGTTGAATGACCCTTCCCACATATTTTATTGTTTTGTGAATTATCTATTCAACTTCCCATTTTGACTCCACTGCTCTCACTTGTTTCCCCTGATTTCATAAAATTGTAGCCAATGTGATACTCTGTTTTGGTTGACCTTTTTGTGATTTGATGTTAATGAACTCATTACTGCTGCTTCCACTTTTTTCTTGATTTTGGCTACATGTTTTGTGTCTTATGCGTGCATTTA